TCGTAATGGTGGGAGATGAAGCCTGGTAAATAGGCCCTTTTACTTGCCGCGCCTACTGGCGAGGAAGTTTTGTAGATACAATTTTTTGCGAAAATGAGATATTATGTCTTTTGGATGTTGTATGACGTGTACATCATGTAAAACCATGTCACTCATTTCCGTCGGTCTGTCTGTTAGTCGTTTCACACTATGAATAGCTCGCAAAAGCTTTGCAGTGTTTGAAATTCAGTGGTAGCGGAGCTAGGGGCAAAAACACAAAAAACTTATTTTTTTGATGCTGCAGAAGCTCCTGATCATTTTCATATCTTTTTGTAGAAGCTGAAAACGGGGTTGGGGACTGTAGGAAGTGGGGTAGGATATATATATATATATATATATATATTTTGAGACGTGGTCATTGTCGTCTAGACCAGTTAGGTGAAAAATTAAAGCTTCCGCCTTTTGTTGGGTACTTCGACAAAATTTAAGCAAAGAGGACTCTTTATACTTTTTTTAATTCTCTCTAGCTTTCAATGCACTTTGCCATCATCATCAGGAGCTGCAATTACAATGATAACAGTAGCAACAAAGGTGTAAAATGAATTTAAATTGACTCAACTTACAGTAGTATGTGAGGATGTTGCTAATTGTTGTTTACGTATAGGATGAGGGAAACCATGTTACTGGACGTTTCCCTCATCCTATACGTAAACAACAATTAGCAACATCCTCACATACTACTGTAAGTTGAGTCAATTTAAATTCATTTTACACCTTTGTTGCTACTGTTATCATTGTAATTGCAGCTCCTGATGATGATGGCAAAGTCCATTGAAAGCTAGAGAGAATTAAAAAAGTATAAAGAGTCCTCTTTGCTTAAATTTTGTCGAAGTACCCAACAAAAGGCGGAAGCTTTAATTTTTCACCTATATATATATATATACGAGCAGGGTTTAAATTATCAGACAACTTACTCGTCGCTGAGGTTACAGCCAAATGGTGTTTCATGACGAAAACGTGGATGAGAGCACAAATATAAAACCAAAAGGACGGACACATTGGGTTTATTGATAACGACGGACACCATCGTTAGGTGTTAACACTATATATCAATACACCCGAACACATTAGAAATTATCGAAAAGCAATTTTGGGGACAAAAACCGTCCCTTCTAACCTTCTACATCTGTTTCACGTGGAGAAAATGAGCGAACCGGAAGAGTGATGCGTCGACAGATGACAGGTGATTGTCGCGAAGGAATGTGGAAATATAAACATCGTTGCCAAACTTCAGGTATAGTGTACACGAGGGACGCTCGGTAAAAACTCCTCCTATTTCCCAAAATGCTGGATTAAATTTGTTCTGGAAAAAGTGTAATTTATATGAGTATACGCTTGAAAAGACGGGTGATATGAAAATATATTAAAATTTATTATTACCGTGAGGGCAATGTTTCAAATAACAGGATAAATAATTGGAAAATGATATATATATATATATATATAATTATGCGTTTGACAGCAGTACATTTATACACTTCATCAATATTACGTACTTATCAGAACATAGTTCACGCAACCTAGATTTCCCCGTACATTTGCGATAAAAACACGGCCGCGGTCGTTCGCGACGGAACATACATACGCTGAGCACAGTCTGCGTCAGATTGACTCTGACTGCATCGCCGGTTCCTCCAGTCACTATACTAGTATGGTTCAGCACTGTTGCCAGATGGTAGATATTTAGAGCAGGAAAGAAACTAGTGCTAGCGTTATTAAATCGGTGGGGACTATTGAGTATGGACTAACTGCATGGGCCTGTTTGACTGAATGAATCCATTTTTTTATATATATGTTTGTAGCTAGCTCAGAGGGACTAACTTCGGCCGAACATAATCGTCTATGAACTGGCAACGTTGCAAAGTCAACCTACTTGACGCCATTTTTTTGTTATACTCGATCACCAAAACTGAAACTGAGAGCTCACCTGGCATTAGAACTTGGTGTCAAACCTCCATACCTTTGAAGGTCATAACATTCGAGCAATCTGCTTCATAGATTTCTTTACTATCTAATTCCTGAAATAATGTCGAAAAAACTCACAATTGAGCAGGAGGGATTGAAAAAAGCAAGTGTCTTGATCTCGCTGACGAAAATTTCATTGGCTGCGTGAACTGTATGATCTTGAGAGCAAGAGGCAAAGTCAAGGTAGCACACTGTGAGGTCTTGTCGATCAGAGCTCGAATGAGCAAATCAAAGCTCAAATCAATACTGATTTAATTTGTTTGACAAGAGATAGATGTTTTTTTATATTGAAGCAGCCGCGCAGGTAGAAGCCTAAATGCCGGAACGCCGCGGCTGCTATGATGATCCCAAAGAAATTTTGTTAATACGATTTTTGAACTGCCTAAGGTTAGTAGAACTGGGAAAAGCTTCCGCTTGTAGATTGTTTCACAATCTCGACACCCTCGGGACAAAGGAGCGGTCGTATCGGCCAGTTCTGTATGTATGAAGTTCGAAACGGTTAGGATGGGACGCCAAAGTCAGGCGGGTCTGTCTGGCAGGCACATCGCGCAGCGGCATCATGGAAGAAAGCTCTGAGGAGCAAAGCCCGTTGGTGTAGCGATAGAAAAGAGCTAGATCGTCGACGGCCCACCGGTGCGAAAGAGTCCCGAGACTGTCTGTAAGAGAAGAGTCATCGATCAGTTGGACCGCCCTCCTCTGGACAGCATCGAGCATGTATAATGTAGTCGGGGCGGCAGCACCCCAAACGTGTGAGCAATACTCGAGGCTAGGCCTTATCTGGGACTTGTACAGAGTGAGAAGGTCATGCGGAGAAAAGTACTTCTTAGCCCTAAGCAGATAGCCTAGCTTTTTCCCAGCTGCCGCAGCTGTTGACGAGATGTGTTCGTGCCAGATCAGGTCCTCGGTGATCTGGACTCCGACCAGCCGAAATGAATGGCTCTTTGGCAGAACTCGGCCGTCCATCGAAACTGGATGAGCGCTAGGACGCTTCTTGTTCGTCAAAGTACAGTGCTGTGTTTTGGAAACATTGAACTGTACAATATTGTTGCGTCCCCAAGTGGTGATAGCCTCCAGGTCTCTTATCAGAGAGTAAGTCGTCGCTAGTTTTCTTTTTTCCAGCTCAGCAGCAGAGATCGACTTGTCACTCTGAATTCCTGCATGTAGAGTGCTGACATCAGCGAAGCTGTGGATTGGGTTGATCGTGCAGGAAAGGAGGTCGTTGATATGTAAGAGAAACAGTGTTGGAGCCAAGACAGATCCCTGGGGAACACCCGCGTTGACGTTGTGGGATGAAGAGGAGAACCCGTCAATTACGACGGATATCTTGAGGCCAGAGATAAAGTCAGCCACCCATCTGCAAAGCTTTTCTGGGAGGTCATAGGATGGAAGTTTGCTTAAGAGGGCAGCATGCCACAGCTGATCGAACGCTTTCGTGATGTCAAAAGCAACGACATGAGCCTCACCGTAAGACTGGATGAGTTTACTCCATAATTGCGTGACGTAAGCTAGGAGGTCCCCTGTGGATCGTTGGTGCCGGAAACGATACTGCCTGTCGCTAATCAAGCTGTGACGTTCGAGGTAGTCCAGAAGCTCGCGATTTATGCACCTCCCCATCACCTTACTTATAACAGATAGCAGAGCTATAGGCCTGTAGTTGTAAGGGTCGGTCTTAGATCCTCCTTTTTTTGGATGGGTTGGAAATGAGCAAATTTCCAGTTTTCTGGGAAAGTGCCGGATTCATAAGATATTTGGAAGAGACGCGAAAGAACTGGAGCAAGCTCCGCTGCGCACCTCTTCAGTACAATGGCAGGAATCAAGTCCGGACCAGAAGCTTTGTTGATGTCGAGCGACAAGAGCACTCGTCTTACGAATAAATGTTACCTCCCGCATAGTGTAGGGAACCCTTTGAATTGACGGCACTTGGGCGTTGGGGGGGGACGTCCATGGTAGAGTTGGTAGCAAAGATCTTGACTAGCACTTCCGTCTTGGCCTTTGAGTCGAATACAATAGTTCCATCCTAATACTTAAGTGGTGGAAGGCTACTGTGTGAGAAGTTCTTTTCAATCTGCTTGATCAGCGTCCATAAAGACCGACTGCCATTGCGCTGCGACATTACCCTGTGCCTGACATTTATATCGTGCTGGTTTTTGGCATTGCGAACCGCTTCGTTATGTCTGTTTCTGGACTCGACGTCGGCTTGTCTGTTCTCTACAGTGGGGTTTTGTAAGAAGGTTCTGTGTATCTTGATCTTTTGCTGTGTAGCTGCCCAAGGAAACTACTCTGAAGGAGATAATATTGATGTTTAAAGCAATAGAAAGTTTGTTGAAAAATAAATTAGCCTACACTAGCGTATACTTACCAAGTCCAAACAGAATTGAAGGCGGATAGGGTTTTTCCATATTCCAATGAGTGCCTGACGTCTGCTCAATCTGCAGTGGCCTAAGACAATCTCATCCGGCAGATTGAGCGACTCTACTTTTGTCCGATAGCCATAGAGTTTGACGCTTGTTTGGGTCTGTTTTAAGCTTCTCTAGCCTGCATACAGTCGTCTCTGTTTAATCATGTCTTCGCCAATTCCTTGTGGGCCCAGTCATCCAGGGAGAAACTAACCAGGCACTTGCTGTTTCCCAGCATCGGGAGAGGTCAACAGACCATGACCTACAATATACAATGTTGTCGCATGCTTGTTAGCAATCATCAGTACGGTATAGGTCGATTCTTGGAGACAGACAGAATGGTCTACTCAAAAACTCAGTATGAACTCTGGTCCAATACTGAGTGACAGATCCGCTCTATGAACCGATAGATGTTTTTAAAAGACAACCCTTCAACCAGCTGGAATACTAAGTGTTCTAAAGGTTATCATCAGTGGTATACTATGCAAAAATTGCACAAATAAACGAGTCCGGATCATCGTGACTGGGCTGTCAAAGTTCTGGGTTCGAATCCCACTGATTTCTTAATACAACAACAACTTAGATTTGTATCCGTTTCAGGTTTGATCCGAACAAGTCGACAAAAGGAGCTAGCAAACTAAGAAGAGATCTAATAAACGCAGAGATAGCAAATCTACGTGAACTTCTGCCATTACCTCCTTCCACTAGGCAAAGACTGTCACAACTGCAACTCATGGCATTGGTCTGTGTATACGTCAGGAAAGCTAACTACTTTCAACAAGGTATGTATTTGGAGACTCATACTAACGTAACTCCGGAAACTTATCCTTGGCGGCGAGTAAAACACTGAGATAAATTTAGTACCTGTGTTTTTGGTTTCTTGAAGTAAGGTCCAATCTGACAACTATGAACGCTATATTTTTACCAATTCTTTGGGCTTTTGCATCTCATTCTTACACAATCAAGCCCTGTGAGTCGGGAATTGACAGTAGTACAGATGTTCCCAATCCTTTTCGATTTGCGGCTCCCTGAATAATCGGATTTTTTCCGCGGCGCCCTTAATACGTCAGATTTTTTTTCAAAATTTTTTACTTTCTGGAATTGGAAATTACAAGAAAATTGCCAAATTTTTTAAATTAATATTTCGCGGCGCCCTTACGACGGCACCGCAGCACACACTTTGAGAATCACTGGACTAGTACGTTTTGTCCCTAGACTGCTGAGATTAATGTCTTTCTTCGTTATTTATTCGTATATCATTCAACTGATCGTATCAAATCAATAAGTTTATTCAAAGAATAAAGATTCCCCATAGATAATTACGGAATCTGTCATGGTGCTCCATAAAGGATTGCATAAGTGGTTGAAAGCTTCCTCAAACAGTTCTGATTTGAATCATATGAATACACGACTTGGCTTTTCTTTTGTTGCGATATGACAATCTAAGAAACATGGCGAAGCGATACGTTCCGTCAGAAACTGTTTAACTCATATCAAGCAGTGGCAGTCCAAGGGGCTTATAGGAGTATAGCCAGCTGATAAAGGCGTATCCAGGGGGGAGGCGGGCACCTGCCCTTGCCTAGCTGGGCAAAAACTTAATGGAGAGAACATGTCCTACGAAAATTACATTATTCACGTATAGAGTTCTCTTCTTTGAATCAATATTTATTTGACGAGAAATGACTAGAATTGGCTGAAAACTATGTTAGATATAAATTTAATTTTCCTGAAAGAACTATACGGGGTGTTCCTTACTGATATGTGAATATTTAAGGGTGTGAATCTATATGGAAAATGAATGTTAGTTTACTTTATAAACCATGGTCCAAAAATGTTTCCTCACAAAAACTCGGGGTGTTGAAGTTTTAGGAAAAAATGGAAATTAATTAATATTTTCGGAACCGCTTCAGACATTTCACTGATATTCAGTACGTAGTGAAAGTTAATAAATCTCTATATTTTTTAATGCAAAAATAATTTTTAGCTTTAACAGTGGCGTGCGCACGGGTATTGACTTCGATATTTTTTAAGAAAAAAATAGTACGCCAATGGTTTTTTGCCAAATAAAAATTATTTTTGAATTTCCCGTTCAATTTAAAACAAATGATCTCTCTTGAATTGTTTTCTTTTGATGCGCCATTTTTGAGTAAAAAAATAAAAACCGTTCTACTGTCTAACTTGCAAAATTATTATTAATTTATTTGGAAAAATTAAACACAAGGGCAATGAAGAACAACAACTGAAAACATAAACATAACATTAAAACCAACGAAATGATTATAAAAAATCTTGAAAATGCCCCCCTTCACTTAGTATGCATGCTTCCGCCCTCCTTCTCACTCGTTGAAATATCCCTGGAGTATTTTGTAATCTATCACAAGCTGCAACTATTCTTTCTGTTAATTCCTCTACAGTGTTAATGGGACTTGTGTACACTAGTGTCTCAAGATAGCTCCACCAAAAGAAATCTAAACTGTTGAGGTCTGGGGACCTTGGTGGCCATTCTTGGGGCCCACCGCGGCCAATCCAACGATTTGGATAAACGGTTTGTAAATAATTACGAAGCGCTACACTGAAATGCGCTGGTGCACCATCATGCATATACCACATATTGTTTCTTATTACTAACGGAACATCATCAAGCAGCAAAGGCAACTGTTGTTGGAGAAAATTGAGGTAAGTCTGTCCGTCAAGTCGTCCCGGCAAGAAGAATGGGCCAATAAAGTGGTTGCCAACAATTCCTGCCCATACGGTAACCGAAAATTGGTATTGGAAATGGGTTTCGGCTGCGGCATAGGGATTTTCTTCTGCCCACAAATGATTTATGTGGAAATTCTGAATGGTATTTCGAGAAAATGTAGCTTCGTCCGTGAACTGAATCATTGATTCAAATTGCGGATTTTGTGTACTTTTTTGAAAAGACCACTGACAAAAGGTCACACGCCTTGGAAAATCATTGGGAAGTAATGCCGGTACTCCTAAAATATGGTAAGGATATAACAAAAAATCCTCTAAAATTCAATTCAATTCAATTTGATGGCAAACATTTAAGTGTCTAGCGATCTTCCTCGTACTCGTTTCAGGATGTTCTTCGACTTCGTACAGCACTGCTTCCTCAATTTCAAGTATTCTCACACTTAGAGGTCTACCTTCAGATGTTCCTTTTCGGACAAAACCAGTTTCAACAACACGACGAGGAATATTAGAAAAGGGTCGACTATCTGGCAAAGCACGATCGGGATATCTCTGGTGATAAATCTGTCTGGCTTGCTCACCATAACCGTCGGCAAGGCCATGTACGTAATTCATTTCCGCCATTTCTGCATTTGAATAATTCACTATTATTAACAAGATTGTAAAAACTAAATAATGAAAAAGATGAACAGATTTCTCAGATGTCAAAAGCCAGTGACATATTCCAGAGCAACTAGATATTTATTTCAAAATCGCATTCCTCAATTATTACATTAATTTTCTCGGACAATAGAACGGTTTTTATTTTTTTACTCGAAAATGCCGCATCGAAGGTAACCAATTCAAAAGAGATCGGGGAATTCAAAAATAATTTTTATTTGGCAAAAAACTGCTGGCGTACAATTTTTTTCTTAAAACTGCAGGGAGCGGTATATTCTAAGTAGGAAGCGTTTAGTCCTAAGTTTTTTTTTTAATAATATTTTTGATTATAGTAATGGGGATATTGTCCAATTACAACCTGGATGTCTGACTTGTTGCAGAAGTTATGTCGCTTGATAGGTTGAGCGTTTTCAAATACTTTTTTGTTACTTTAATCACTTACGGATTTAACTTTAGGCTACTATTTAATATTTACTATCAGGCACTTTTCGGCAAAAAGTCAACGATTTTTTGCTATAACCTTGAAGTTTAATAAAAAAAGTTAACTAGAATTTATTTGGAGATTCTAAAGAATACTTATATGAGTCCTTTTGTACAATTTATTTTACAGCAGGGTTCACATTTGGCTAGTTAGCCTGAACAAATAAGTTTTATGACGTTTCTAGATAACATTACAACAGCAGTTTGCAGATTTTTCAACGCAGATTCCTATACAAAAGTGTCTGAATGACTAGAATTTGAAAAACGAGTTTTGCCGGACTTCACAATCTTTAAATCCTTCAAATGAACTGTACGTCTTAAAATGTATCGACAAAGTTTCACTTCTTTCAGTAGGAGCATTTTTTGTTGACTTCGAAAGAAACGGAAAAAAAAGATGAAGTCAAGTTTGGAGGAGTTGATTTTTTGGTCGTAATACTGGTACCATTAGACAGGCCTTTCAAAATTTCTTCAAAATCCAGTGACACTTTCCAAGTTATAGAAGGACCAATAATTAAATTAGTTTTTTCTACGGTTACCGCAACAGGACCGATTAACAAAAGAGTATCAATAGTTTTCTGTCTGTAATAGAGGGCAAAGAAATACCTGATGAACGCCACAAAACATATACCAACTATGTTATATCTGAGAATTATTCTTTCATTTGAAAATTTTTCGCGATTACAGTACTTCCCTGGCTTATTGACTTGACTGAAAAAATGAGCACAATGTCGTTGGATATGTCTGAAGCATCTTATAGAACAACCTACACATTGTCACAAAAAACCAATACAATGACCAAAAATAATGCCTCCATAGTATAGTGTCACTTAGTATCTAAGGGTAATATCACACCTTCTTCAGCAGTTTGCCCAGGCTGATGAGTCATCTTTAAGGAACCTCGGAAAGGCGTAGAAAGGATCTTTGTGCTGTAATCTTAACTTTACATTTCGTTCGATGCAGAATATGGTACTTATTGAAGTCTAAATTTTACAAGAGTACTAGGCATGTAAGATACTGAAGCTCCATTATTAGCAAACGCTTTTTCTTCGTTCTCACAAGCCTGCCTTAAACATTGTACCTACACGAAAATTACAGTATATGCGTATTTCCGTGATCCGAAAATATGCATTTTAAGATCGTAAGTATCGTGGCTTCTCTTTCTTCGGTACCATCACACACTCTAAGTAGTTTCAGTCATGCAACCTGACAGTTCAAAGTCAAAATTTCTGCTGTTTTGCATGGTATCGATAATTTTGTGCATGTTTCTTGCGTGGTAAAATTGGCTTGGTTTTGGGAGAGTAATATAGGCCCAAGAGAGCATAGAGGTCATGGCCGTCATATGTAGATGATGGATCGGCATTAAATCTGTGGGAACCACAGCTTACATGTTCAAATACGAAAAGCAGAGTCAGTTTGAATACTTGGTTATATACTGAGTCACAAAAAAAGGTAAACACCTACTTTGTTAGGAAGTGCTACCTTTGTCAGTGAGAGTTAGTTTTTTTAAGTTTTTTCTTTTTTGTTGTCTTCAGCGTTACCGTCGGTGCTAATTATGTGACTTTTTCTTGTAGTTTTCCTGTAATTAGGTGTTACCTGTTGGAAATAAATAAATAAATAAATAAATAAAGTATGTTTATCGGATTTTAATAATTTTTGGCATTATGTTCAGTGTCCCTTACTAGTAAAATGATCAAATTTACAGCTTGAATAATATGTGGAGGATCCACGATTTCTTATACTCTCATTGACACGCAGCCACCACAAAAGCTTAACAGAAACACCTGACCATTTCATCACAAAAGTCTTGAATTCTAATAAACATACGTAGGTATTTACCTTTTTTTGTCACAGTATAAATAGTACATTACGTACGGAGATTGCGAAATGGATCTTTATTGGTTGACCATTTTTATCTAATTTGCGTGATCAAGAATGGCCTTTTCAAGAA